CATGTGAGTGAGTGGAGCAATTGACTGACTGATTGAGCCTTTAAGAACGATGATTTAACCCCTTGAAGACAGTAGCTTAGCGTTATGTGAAGTGCTAATTACCCACCAATCACTACACCGAATCTCAGTTACACGGAAAATAAGAGAGAGAGAGAGAGAGATGGTTGAAGTGTAACAAGAAAGGTGAGAATATTTTTTTAAAGATTCTCAAAAAATTAGGTAAACAAAATATACTTTACTCAGACAGTCGTTATGGGAGTTTGGGTTGGGTTTGGTTAGGTTAGGTTAGGTTAGGTTAGGTTTGTTATTCAACAAATGAAAAAATATAGTTTTAACTCCACTGTTGTAGTATATTGGTCTCTAACGCTCTACACACACACACACACACACACACACACACACACACACAGACAGACAGACAGACACACAGACACACACACACAGACACACAGACAGACAGACAGACACACACACACACACACACACACAGACACACAGACAGACAGACACACACACACACACACACACACACACACAGACACACACAGACACACAGACAACACACACACACACACACACACACACACACAGACAGACAGACAGACACACAGACAGACAGACAGACAGACAGACAGACAGACACACACACACACACACAGACACACAGACAGACAGACAGACAGACACACACACACACACACACACACACACACACAGACAGACAGACAGACAGACAGACAGACAGACAGACAGACACACACACACACACACACACACACACACTAAGCGTCCTTCATTACTCACAGCTCAGACGGAACATTCCCAGCCTGGAGTAATGAACACCAACCTCCCTCTCCCTCCCCTCCCTCTATCTCCCTCTCCTTGTCCCTTAGTCTCTCATTGGTCTCCCCACGACCTTACCTCCCCTCATCTTCCTCCCGACTCTCTCTCTCTCTTCTCTTCTTTTATACGTATCTATATCTATTCTTATTATCATTTATCAATTTCTTCTATCTCTTCTCATCTCTCAGTCTCTCTCGTTCTCTCATTATCTCCAAACATCTCTATATTATCTCTCTGTCTTGTTAGCCTGAGAAGTTGTGTGGGTTTATGGAGAGTTAGTTGAGTGTATCTCTCTCTGTCTCTCTGTCTCTCATACACACACACACACACTTCCCTTCTCTCACTCTCACGCACTCTACCTCTCCTCTTCCTAACACACTCTCCTCTTCCTAACACACTTTCCTCTCACACACTCCCTAACACACTCTCCCCTCTTCCCTAACCTCCCTCTTCTTACTCCCCTCACACACTCCCTAATACACTCTCCCTCTTCCACACTCCCCTAACACTCTCCCTCTTCCTAACACACTCTCCCTCTTCCACACTCCCTAACACACTCTCCCTCTCACACAATAATGACATAATCCCGGCACATCAGGCCAGCCGGGAGAGGTTAAGCAAGCCTTTCCAAATATGCACAGCCGGATCTGCATTACTCTCTCTCTCTCTCTCTTCTCTCTCTCTCTCTCTCTCTCTCTTTGACCTTATTACTCTTACCAACGTCACTCTTGCTTCCTGTCTCGATCTACAGGTCACTACAGGTCTCGTTCTACAGGTCACTACAGGTCTCGTTCTACAGGTCACTACAGGTCTCGCTCTACAGGTCATTACAGGTCTCGTTCTACAGGTCTCGCTCTACAGGTCATTACAGGTCTCGTTCTACAGGTCTCGCTCTACAGGTCATTACAGGTCTCGTTCTACAGGTCACTACAGGTCTCGCTCTACAGGTCACTACAGGTCTCGTTCTACAGGTCACTACAGGTCTCGCTCTACAGGTCACTACAGGTCTCGTTCTACAGGTCACTACAGGTCTCGTTCTACAGGTCACTACAGGTCTCGCTCTAGGTCACTACAGGTCTCGTTCTACAGGTCACTACAGGTCTCCTCTACAGGTCACTACAGGTCTCGCTCTACAGGTCACTACAAGTCTAGCTCTACAGGTCACTACAAGTCTAGCTCTACAGGTCTCGCTCTACAGGTCACTACGGTCGCTACAGGTCACTACAGGTCTTTAATTAACCTTCAAGAGTCACCCAAGTTACCAGTTAATGTTTCTCCCCTAATAGTTTAAAAATATAAAACCACAAAACATTAACTAATATTTTTTTTCTGTTCGAAGTTGAAATATATTAAAAAAAAGTTTAATGTTTTATTTTCCTATATTGTAGTTTTCGTACACATCAAATAGAAAACATTAATAACAAGTAAAGTTTTTTTTTTTCTCTGACGATTGTTATTGTTTGGTGTATTTGTCGGAGGCCTTTGTGCGGAAAATATTTTGTATCAAACTTTTGTCGATAAATTATTTTTGTTCTATTCTTAAACAACTGGGTTTTGCAAAGTTTTTTTTATATATATAACTATTTTGTATTTGAGAGTTAGGTTAGGGTAGGTTAGGTTAGGTTTAGTTAAGGTTAGGTTAGGTTACAATGGCTAGGCTAGGTCAGGTTAGGTTAGGTTAGGTTAGGTTACAATGGCTAGGCTAGGTCAGGTTAGGTTAAGGTTAAGTCATCTTAAGTTACGTTAGGTTTTGTGGCGTTGTGCTGTGTTAATAACTGCTATGAGTTACAGTACCTCTGAGTCACTGTTAATGTGTTGTAGTATCGTCACTCCTAAGTTACAGCACCTCAGAGTTACGCCGTCAGGTTATGGGACCAAGGATCATTTACCATATACTAAGCGTGAATGATAACAAAAGTGACTTTCTCAAATACCAGTGAGCATCAGGAGAGAGAGAGAGAGAGAGAGAGAGAGAGAGAGAGAGAGAGAGAGACCTAGTACACAAAAACGAACGAGAAGTGGGAGACAGTTTAAGAGACACTGAGAGATCAGGGTTCATCTCTCAGGCTGGCGTTTATCTCTCAGACTAGTAATTATCTCTCCGGCAGGAAAAAGTGAGACACCGAGAGACAAATAGCTAAGTGTGTGTGTATCTCTCAGGGAGGAAGAAGTGAGAGACAAATGTGTATCTCTCAGGCAGGAAGATGTGAGAGACAAATGTGTATCTCTCAGGCAGGAAGATGTGAGAGACAATTGTGTATCTCTCAGGCAGGAAGATGTGAGAGACAGTGTGGTATCTTCAGGCAGGAATGTGAGAGACATGTGTATCTCAGGCAGGAAGATGTGAGAACATGCTCTCAGGCAGGAAAAGTGAGAGACAAGTGTGTGTATCTCTCAGGCAGGAAGAAGTGAGCAATTGTGTGTATCTCTCAGGCAGGAAGATGTGAGACAAGTGTGTGTATTCAGGGGAAGATGTGAGACAATTGTGTATCTCTCAGGCAGAAGACAATGTGTATCTCAGGCAGGAGATGTGAGAGACAAATGTGTATCTCTCAGGCAGGAAGATGTGAGAGACAAATGTGTATCTCTCAGGCAGGAAGAAGTGAGAGACAATTGTGTGTATCTCTCAGGCAGGAAGAAGTGAGAGACAATTGTGTGTATCTCACGGAGTTGTGGCTGGTGCCTAGGTCCTGTTGCCACCAAAACAAGGAAACCATTTTATAAGGAAGCCATCTGTCGTGTGGGGGGAGGGGGACGGAGGGGAGGGAGAGGGGAAGAAGACGGAGGAGGGGGAGTAGACGGAGGGAAAGGGGGAAGGGTGAGGGAAGGAAGTCCTACCTACTGAAGTGATATATTGGCACACAGGGCCCTCCACTCCCTTCCTTCCTTCTTTCCTCCTTCCTTTCTTTCCTCCATTCCTCTCTCCAATCTTTTCTGCAGGACTCCCTTACTCCTTTTTCTCATTTCCCTCCTTTCCTTCTCCCCTCTCTGTCTTCTTCCCCTCCCTCCACTCTTCCTTCTACCATTCTCCTCCTATATGATTTCTTCCCCCTCCTCCTCCTCCTCCTCCTTCCTCTTCTCCTGCTCACTCCTTCCCTTGCACCGTAACTTCCTACCTACCTCTATCCCTCCCTTCATTACCTCTATCTATCCTCCTCCCTACCACCCCCCCTCCTCTCCCTACCTACCTCATCCCTCCCTTCACTCCCTCCTCCTCCCCTCCCTCCACTCTATCCCTCCCTTTCTCATCTATCCTCCTCCCCTCCACCCCCCCCCTCCTCCCTACCTACCTTCATCCCTCATCCATCCCTCTATCCCTTACCCCACCTCCCCCCTCTCCTCCACACAGTAAGGTCTGGTCGGGGAGGGTAAAAGGGGGGGTGGTGTGTGAGTTTGGTTTGGGGAATTGGAAAAATTGGTGAGGTCTGGTTGAGGCAGTATTAATGGAAACGGTCGTCAGGTCTGGGCGGTGAAGGCTGGGGAAATAATAGCCAAGGAGAGTAGAAAGAGAGAGAGAGAGAGAGAAAGTAGAGAGAAAGAGTAGAAAGTGAGAGAAAGAGTAGAAAAGAGAGAAAATAGACAGAAAGAGTAGAAAGTAGAATGGAGTAAGAGAGAAAGTAGAGAGAAAGTAGAGAAAATAGAGAAAAGAGTAGAAAGTAGAGATAGAGTAGAGAGAGAAATGAGAGAAAAGAGTAGAAAGTAGAGATAGAGTGAGAGAAAGTAGAAAGTGAGAAAATAGAGAGAAAAGTGAAAGTAGAGATAGAGAGTAGAGAGAAAGTAAAGTAGAGAAAGTAAGAAAATAGAGAGAAAGAGTAGAAAGAGTAGAGAGAAAGTAGAAAGTAGAGAGAGAAGTAGAGAAAGAGTAGAAAGTAGAGATAGAGTAGAGAGAAAGTAGAAAGTAGAGAGAAAGTAGAGAGAGTAGAGAAAGAAGAGTAGAAAGTAGAGAAAGAGAGAACAGATAGATAGAGAGAGACAAACAACAGAAGAGAAAGACAAACAGGCACATAGAAAAATACACAGACAGCCAGACAAGCAGGCGGATGGATAGGCAAAGAAAGAAAGAAAGAAAGAAAGAAAGAAAGAAAGAAAGAAAGAAAGAAAAATAAAAACAAACAGATTACAATGCACCCATCCCTATTTATTTTATCATGTTAAAGAGAATTCCAAGTGACTTTAAACAACAACAAACAAAGCAAACAACATAATGACACAACAAGAAGCAAGGAAGACAAGAATGACGCAGCAAGACGCAAGGAAGACAAGAATGACGTAGCAAGAAGCAAGGAAGACAAGAATGACGTAGCAAGAAGCAAGGAAGACAAGAATGACGTAGCAAGAAGCAAGGAAGACAAGAATGACGTAGCAAGAAGCAAGGAAGACAAGAATGACGTAGCAAGACGCAAGGAAGACAAGAATGACGTAGCAAGAAGCAAGGAAGACAAGAATGACGTAGCAAGAAGCAAGGAAGACAAGAATGACGTAGCAAGAAGCAAGGAAGACAAGAATGACGTAGCAAGAAGCAAGGAAGACAAGAATGACGTAGCAAGAAGCAAGGAAGACAAGAATGACGTAGCAAGAAGCAAGGAAGACAAGAATGACGTAGCAAGAAGCAAGGAAGACAAGAATGACGTAGCAAGAAGCAAGGAAGACAAGAATGACGTGGCAAGCAAGGAAGACAAGAATGAAGCAAAAAGAAGCAAGGAAGACAAGAATGACGTAGCAAGAAGCAAGGAAGACAAGAATGACGCAGCAAGAAGCAAGGAAGACAAGAATGACGTAGCAAGAAGCAAGGAAGACAAGAATGACGCAGCAAGAAGCAAGGAAGACAAGAATGACGTAGCAAGAAGCAAGGAAGACAATCACGAGTAAATATGAGTACATTAATATTTACTTAGATAAAAACACGTTAAGTGACTTCAGAGACAAAACTCGCTAAAAAGTGCATTATTTATACTTATTTACTTATTAAAACTTGTAAGTGGGTAATTTATACTTACTTAAACACTATAAATTACTTAAGGAAAAAATAAATATTTCCTTTATAATTACCCTGGAGAAAATAAACAGAAAACACCGGAAAAAAAACCCGCCGAGTTTCATTCATAACAATAGTGTAAACAAACAACAGCTGACAGGCCACGCCCCCTCCACTACCACACCTACACCCCTCATTCACCAATGTTTTACACACGCTGGAAAATTCTTAAAACACCCGGGAAATTTGTCTCTAATGTTTGTGGGCGTAACTTTTTGTCTTCTAAATATAATATACCTCAGGATGATTTTTTTTTCTATGGATTTTTACTTAATAATTTATATGTAACTTATTTAATTGTGGGTTTTAGTTAGAATTTGAATACAATTAAATGAGAAAGACTTCAATATAGTTGTGAAGAACACTAACAAATTATAACATTAATAATGACATTTATTATACTATTAATACTACTACTACTACTATTAATAATAATAATAATAATAATAATAATAATAATAATAATAATAATAATAATAATAAAATAACATTAAAAACAACAAAAATAATAATAAAAATAATAATAATAATAATAATAATAAAATAACATTAAAAACAACAAAAATAATAATAATAATAATAATAATAATAATAATAATAATAACAATAATAATAATAATAATAATAATAATAATAATAATAATAATAATAATAACAACAACGTTATTAGTTTGAGATATAGAGCATGTTAGAACAGTGTTTGTCTGAAGGAACTGTAGTGCTAATTACCCAACAGATGATAGAGGAATGAAGCAGTTCTGTAGTTTACGGATAGACAACATCGTTACAAACCACTGAGTTCCAGGCTATGCTCCTATTGGTTAAATGTTTGATGCTATTATCTTATTGGCTGAATGTAAACATGCTGTTTCTCCTATTGGCTGAGTGTACTATGCTGTTTTCCTATTGGCTGAGTGTATTATGCTGTTTTCCTATTGGCTGAGTGTATTATGCTGTTTTCCTATTGGCTGAATGTACCAGCTATTCCCCTATTGGCTGAATGCATCAAACTGCCCCCCCCCCCTATTGGCTGAAAGTACCACACTATTCTCCTATTGGCTAACGTATTAAACTGCTCCCTATTGGCTAAAAGTACCATATCATACTCCTATTGGCTAAATCACAATAAAATTCAACACAATATACAGTAAAATAATATCAATAATAATCAGATGATATTAAACGATAATTCTCTATAATTTAATACGATTATTTACCATCAGAATTATCAAGTGTTACCAAGTATAATTTTTGGGTCGTATTTATAACATTTAAGTGAAGATAAACACAAACGTTTGGTAATACTGAAAATGTTTATGTGTGTTTTGTTGTGTTTACTGGTGAGAGTTAAGTGTTAAACCTCACAAGAAAAATGAAAGAAAACGCAACAAATAAGAGAATAAAAAGAGAACTCAACAAGAAGAGAACTCACAATAAAGAGAAATAAAAGAGAACTCAACAAATAAACAAAAGAGAACTCACAAGGAGGTAAAAAAAACTCACAAACGCGAGAAATAAAGAGAACTCACAACAAGAGAAATAAAAGAGAACTCAACAAGAGAACTCATAACAAGATAAATAAACGAGAACTCACAACTAAAGAGAACTCACAAAACAAGAAAAAAAAGAGAACAATAGTGTGGGAACTCCCATAAGCTTCCGGGGAAAAAAATCTTCCATGTAGATTCTTAAGAGATTACTAACTTTCTCTCCAGTCTTGTATTTCTTTCCCTCTATTTTCTTTCTTTTTTCTTTCCCCCTACTTTCTTTTTTCCTTTCTCTCTGATTTCTTTCTTTCTTTCACTCTACTTTTTTTTATTTCACTCTACTTCCTTTCTTTTTTCCCCTCTACTTTCTTTTACTTTCAATCTACTTTCTTTTTCCTGTCCCTCTACTTTTTTTCTTTCATTCTACTTCCTTTCTTTTTTTCCTCTGCCTTTTCTCCCTCTACTTTCTTTTTTCTTTCTCTCTACTTTCTTTTTTCTTTCCCTCTACTTTCTTTTTTTCCTCTACTTTTTTTCTTTCTCGCTATTTTTTTTCTTTCTTACGAGGAAGATGAGGCGGTGGTGGAGGAGGGAAGGGGAGAGGAGGAAGAGAGAGGGAAGGGGAGGGGAGGAAGAGAGAGGGAAGGGGAGAGAAGGAAGAGGGAAGAGGAGAAGGAATAGGAGAAGGGGATGGGAAGAGGAGGAGGGGAAGAAGAGAAAGAGAGGAAGAAGTGGAAGAGGAGAAGAGGAAAAGAAGGAGGGGAAGAAGAGAAAGAGGAAGGGAGGAAGAGACGCAAGAATAGGGGAGGGAAGGAACAGGAGAGAAGGAAGAAAAGGAGGAGGGAAGGAAGAAATAGGGAAGAGAAGGGGAGAGGAGGAAGGGGGAAGAGAAGAAAGAATAGGGAGAGAGGAGGGGAGGAAGAGAAAAAGGAGGGAATAAGGAACGAAGGAAGAGCAGGAGGGAGAGATTTCTATTGTTATAACTGGTCGTGTGTTTTGATTTGTGCATTCATAGGAGACAGAGACATACATACATTCATACATACATACATACATACATACATACATACATACATACATACATACATACATAAAAACAGACGTAAAGGAGACAGATAGACAGAATAAACAGATAAGATAAATTTTGACAGAAAAATGTGAAATGACGTAGTAATTGAGAGAGAGAGATCACCGTAAAAATATATATACGTGTGGCACTGATGGCCTCTAGGGGAGGGGGTAGGAGGGGGAGTGCCAAGACAGGAGTTAGAGTAGGAGGAGAAGAAAGAAAAATATGAGGAGGAGAAACAAGAGGGGATAAGATGGTTGGTAGGTAGGAGAGAAGCCCCCCTTCACCCCCCACCTCCCCCTCCCTCACCCCCCTGCAAATGACCACAGCAAAACAAAAACATCCCCGGAGGAAAAAAAAACCCTCAGAGGCAGGAGACGGACATGTAACCCCTCGCGGACCACCACCAAGATAATGCCCCTTCCTGCAGATGGTCGACCAGGGGCGGGATAGGCTGGGTTAAAAAAAATAAAAAATTACTCGTCCCTTGGAAACACAACATCCCGAGGAGCCAATTTCACCTTCCCAAAATCAGCTGATCTTCAGAGACTTGTGTGACCGGAAAAAAACAATAATTTAGGAGTAATCGTCTCTCATTAGCGAAACGAGGGATTGTTTTGCGGGTGGGTAGGTGTGGGTAGGGTAGACTGGGCGGAGGTGGGCGGAGGTGGGTGGGGAAGCAGCGGGTTCTAGTTGATTGGTTCAAACTTGCTAACAGGTGCGACGTGACTCAAATTTCGGCTGAGAATTCAGAAGTTTGTCGGGTGAGGAGGGCGTATCCGCAGGTGAGGTGAGGAGGAGGTGTGTTGGGTCTTGGGGAGTGAGGGTGTAGAGGTGAGGGTGGTGGTGGTGGTGAGGGTGAGCGGTGAGGCGGGGTTGTTCTTGAGGGAGGCGGCCGCTAGAGGCAGCCCAGAGACGTGACTGACTTGCCAGCACCGCCCTGACGAGACTCACCACCACCTACCACCATCACTACCACCATCAACCACCATCACTACCACCATCGCCACCTACCATCACCAACCACCATCACTACCGCTACCACAACCATCACTACCATAACCAACACCTCCTACCACCATTACTACTACCATCATCACTTACAACCACCATAACTACCACTATCATAACAACCACAACTACCACCACTGCTACAACACTCCTATATCATTCACCAGTCTCTCTCTCTCTCTCTCTCTCTCTCTCTCCTATCATCTTTGTTTTCGTATTATCTCCCATTTCCTCCCTTTACTCCTTTCTATTTTCGCTTTTCTTTCACTTTCTCGTCTGCTTCTCTCTCTCATCCATCATCCTTTATCTTCCCTCTCGCTCTCCTCACTTCTTAATCTGTCTTCATTTATCCCCCTTCTCTCCCTTCCTGTTCTCTTTCCTTTCCTTTATTCTTCTCTCTCTCTCTCTCTCTCTCTCTCTCTCTCTCTCTCTCTCTCTCTCTCTCTCCTTCCTCTTGTATCCCTCTTTCTTACTCTTGTTCTTTCAATTATTCTCCCGTCCCCTTCTGCTGTTTTTTCGTTCTTCTCTCTTCTTCTCTCTTCCTCCTCTCCTCCCTTTCTACTCGTTCTCCTTTCCCTCCTCTTTTCTCCCTCCCCCTTTCCCTTCGTTCCCCCTGCGTCTCTTTCCTTTACTCCTTCCTGCTCTCCTTTCATCTCTTGCTCTTCTATTCCCTCTCATCTTCCTTCCACTCCCCCCATTTCACCCCCCCACTTTCTCTCTCTCTCTCTCTCCTTCTCACCCTCCCTCTCTCCTTCCACCTCCCCCCTCCTTCCCCTCTAGCCATCACAGTGGAGTTACATCTCAGCTGTAATACTGACGAGGCTGTCGGTGTCAGCCACTCATAAGTCGCTTCACTAACTCTCCAGGTCTGACACGTCGCCAAGGCTGTTACTCACTTCATACACTAACTTAACCCAACCTAACCTAATGCTAACTTAACCTAACCTAACCTAATGCTAACTTAATCTAACGCTAACTTAACCAAACCTAACCTAATGCTAACTTAACCTAACGCTAACTTAACCAAACCTAACCTAATGCTAACTTATACTAACCTAACTTAAATTAACCTAACCTAATAAACAAACCTTACCAAAAATAATCAATCTAACATGACTTGACCTGACCTAACATGACCTGACCTGACCTAACATGACCTGACCTGACCTAACATGACCTGACCTGACCTAACCCCGCCAGGTAACGTTAGGACTGTTAATCATCTTTGTGAATTAAGCTGGGGACTTATCTTCAGGTGTTCCTACGGCTC